TTTTATTGCGTGCCAAATGATTTCCTTATCTTTACGGTGATATTGTTTTATTGTAAATTGGCCCCTGTATGCGCATGTTGTGTGAAAATCGTGCCAAAGTGCCTTCTCGGGGATGAGATAGGACCGATTGGGCCCATAAGGAAAGTCATGCTCAAGGAGGGTTGATGGGTGTGATAGTTTCACATAATTTTGGGTAAGGCACTGAAGCTTAAAGGTGGACATTTGCGGAGGTGTTGGGATGTTCTCAAGAGGCACATATTGAATATATTTCTTTCCAAACTGTGGGATATCAATGGAAATTTCAGGCATTTCCCATCCCCAACACACACACGCACTCTCAGCACAAGATATCTTTTCCGCTTCAGGTGTGCAGAAAAGCACGCCTCTTTGTTTGTGTGAAATTCATCATGTAAGAGTGCAAATTAAAATCCTTTTCCTGCACTAGAACGAATCGGAGCGTGAGTTGGCAGGATGTTGGCTATAAGAAATGAGAACTACCCCCATAAATTTGTAATGGAAAAAAGTTACAATCTCTGTGATTAAGAGGGAAGTAACAAAAATTTCAAGAAACTTCTCTTGAGCGAGGAAAAAAAATGTAGTGAATGAGAAGTTTCGCCCCAGTTTTTTTCTTCCTCTTTTGGGGACTGCGCCACACTCTCTCTTTCTTTTGTGAAGATCCATCTGGCTGAACTCCTGCGGCAATCTCAGCAGCTCTTAATTGCTGTGAGAGGAAGGCTAGGAGTTGCTGACTTGGGAAAAGAGTAAAACCCTCTTATCACTCAATATCCGCCTATTATCTCGGAGGGTGACCGAAAATAGACACATAGATTATATAGAAGAAATCTAATTGCTCTCTGTCACTGCTCTTCAGCCAAAATGAGGAGGAAGGACATTTTCTCAACTTTCCAACTGACTCTGTTGGCCAACCGCACATCCCAAGTTGACCAGAAATGCGTAAATGTTCACAAATTCTCCCCAAATTGTCAGTTTTCTATGCGAATTTAAAGGAAAAAAAAGCCTCCAACAAACAACAGTCACCAAAGGATATTCCTCTAATTCATTCTCCGCCAGAGATACTGCGCGAGCCTGAAGGCCTGGCATGGAGCCGACGGGGATGAAGGATGTGGTCAAATAAATCATGAAATACGACACATCAGAGGAAAATGGGAAAACTTACCCCGGCTCTCCTGTTTTTGCGGTGAAATGGATGAGACGAAAAAACGTGACACCAAACGATAAAATAAAATATATTAGATGGCATACTTTTTGCTCCCTTAAAAGCTCTTTCACTCTATTCTAATGGAGATTATAGACTCTCGCCACGTGAGAAAGCACAAGTCGTAAATAAGGGATGATTTGAAGCATTAAATGGCCGCAAAATACCACACTTTTATCACTTCATTTCCCTCCTTTTTTTCCTGCTCAAGAAAAATTGGACGTGCTGTGAAATAAATATGTTGTCAGCAAATTGGCCAGAGGAGGAAATTTACCTGCAAATGTTCTGTCTTTACAATAAATTCTAATAGGCTTTTGTGTTTCGTGCAGCATTTTTTTAGAGGTATAGATAAGGAAGAAATACAGCGGAGGGAAATTGCGTCCGTCAATATTAAATTCAAAATATATATTCCTCAAATGTGGCGGAAGTAATTGCAATTCACCGCAGAAATTTCATTTACTGACGAAACAATGGATGTTATATACTCGGCAGCGATGATACAAAAATTTAATATCTCCACCATTCCCTCGTGACCCATTCGTAACCCACCCACTCATGGGATTATCCTACATCAAAATTTATTCAAATTCACAATTTTTCGGACCCACCGCCAGTTGGGGGAGAATGTAAAACACTCCCAATGGCTGATGGTGTTAGATAAGAAAGCCGACAAGGCGATTTATGTTCCCCGTGGCTCCTCGGATGTGATTAAAATGCGAAGAAGAGGACTCTCGCTGAGGGCTGCCACAATCAATTCCTCCTTATAGACACGCCATTTATCCACAGGATACCAAAATGATTTCTCTGATTGTGCAGCTAATTGCTTTCAATTAAATAAAAATTTCTCCTCATCCTGTTCCACTTTTCACTCCCAGAACAGAGAGAGAGAGAGAAAAAATCCTCTGGTGATTGTGGTTCAATTATGGTGCCAATGCTGGTCAGGGTGGAAATTGCACCCTTGAGTTCATTGGTATGCACTCAGAGAAATCTATCACAACGCACTTTTCCACTGCATACCATTTTCTTTACACACTATGTAAGTCAAATTCCTTATACCAACAGGCAAAACACTCAGCCCTGCCCAATTGGAATGCAACCGTCATGGCGGCCTTCTCCCCCTGACGAGAATCTCGCTGTTAGTATTATTTGGCGGTAGAGGCAGCACTGGGAGTGACGCGGAGAAGCGCGCGAGTCAATCAGTCGTATTGTGATCGCGGAGCGGAACATATAGCCAACCTCCTTATGATATAATCGGAACTTCAACTATGAGTGAGCATAGTGATTTGTCTGAGTGCAGAGAAGTCATCGTGTTTCTCCCCCATCAATTCGGATAGGGCTGCTGCCTGTGTATTGAAAATGAGAGAGAGTGGGGGGGAGAGAGGGGAATAAATGGGGCAACGTGACCTGAATTAATTACGGACATCCAAGCTATAGCAACACTTTGGGTCTCCACATACATTTTAATGACAAGCAATTTTTGGTGAAATGGCAAATGATGATAAAATTTATTATTATCCACCCATAATGCATCTCCTTCCCTACACTATTAAACATCAATTGACTTCATGTACATGTGTACTACATAAAATAGTCATCAGCAGCATATTTTCATTTCGGGAAACATATTAACCGACACTTTTATCTCTTGTCACGCGAATTTACTACCGAATCCTCATAGATACGATAAGCTTGTCAGGATGATGACAGTGTGTAATTAAATTTGCCAAATTGCGCGGAAAAAATAACTCAATTCAAATTTTAAAAATTTGATACATCCAGAAATGCACATATCAATATTGCTGTCGAATTCACATGGGAAATTATATGTGTTTCATTTCAGTAAATTCCCATGGCTTTTTTTATTGGAAAAAATATGTTCAACAATAATATTCTCCTCAAGCCATATTGCGCGCTTTGTCGCGCTTGTGGCCATGCGTTGGAGTGCTTTTACTTTGGAATTTTGCATGAATTGTCTGGAAAGTTTTGGGCAAGTGCTTGAGTGGTTTGAATAAAAATTTTCCACTTGATGCAGTCCTTGTTCCAAAGAAGATTAACTTTGCGCCGGCACTCATTGGACTATTCATGGCGGAGGAGTTTTTATGCAGATGTTTTTCAAGTTTCCCCGAGCAGAAAGGGAGGCATAATGTGTCACGAGAGTGAATAGAAAATTCATGGGCGGCTTAAGAGATGATTTTCTTCCCTTTATGGTTTCCCATCGAAGCGCAACAATTAGAAATTTATCAGCCCCTCGACAGCACCTTGAGCGCCACAGTTGGGGGAGTATTAAATATTCTGAGATAAGATACATGATGATGAAATGTGCATCGCCACGATAGTAGTTGTTCGACTCCTAAATAAGTGAATTACAGCACAAGAGCACGTTTTCATGAGTTCGATGACAGTTGGGATGGGTTGTTTTCCTCAACATCTCCGCCGTGGGGAGTACGAAATCGATTTTATTGCACAACACCCTCTCACATGCACATCCATCACCGCCCACGGCACCTCCCCACGTGCATCTCCTGACAATATCCGGGGCGCCTTACATCGGCAGAGGAGCGCCAAAGAAGTCCCTCGTGCGAGATATTAAGAATGCTCATGCTAACAAAATATTTTCACTATGCAGACGAATAATGTGCTCGCCACTCGCAGTACGAGATTTGAATTTTTGCCGAGATAGCATGCACGACGTCTACGGAGAACTGCATTAAATGAAAAGGTTTGGTATGCAGCTTGTCAACATGTTTTCCCACTGTCTACCATGCTAACAAAACAATTGGAGTATGGAGGAAATTCAAGAAAAGTACGGAGATATGAAACTTGTTGGATAATCAAATATTTATGTTTCACATACTTATCACTGAATTTTCCATATATAACTTTCTATATTTAGATGTTGTTCCACAACTTTTCCTCTCATCTGTTGCTCTCTCTCTATGTGGCTTCTGCACATCCACTCTTAAAGCATGGCTCTTCTCCAGCCCTTTCACATCAAGAATTGCACCAGTGGCGATTTCCAGTCACCGCACGCGCCTCAGATAATCTGGCGCTTGTCCCACTTTTCGTATCAACGCAAGTTCACATAGTTCGACTATTGAGAGGAGCGCCAGATAAAAGGTGTCTAATCAGCTATAGATCAAAATAGAGCAATATTCCAGTTTGAATACTCTCGAAAATGCAAGGAAATCACTTGAAATTCGGCTAAGATGCTCTTGAAATTCGATTTCACATCGCACTCATCAACCTCATTTCCTCAACCGAGGACAAATCGCTGACTTAATCCTCTTGACTCCACTAAGAGCGCTGAAAAGCTATTCACGTGTCATCGTTGACGCTAAAATGTGAGCAAGGCATTCCATGCGAGCAGGAAAGGTGGGACAATTATGTTCTCCAGACACTCGCTTTCATGTTGAACACGGCGGAAAACTATTCGAGCAATCCAAGATGATGAATCATGCTGAAGTTGGGGGAGAACTTCCAGAGGCAGCATCTGCCCCAACATCGCCTCCCATTCTTATCAACTCTCGCAACTCTTAATTAAAATAGCTCTTGCCACTCTGGCATCTCTCGGGTGGACTGAGAGGCGCATTCGGCAGCTCACTTGCAGCCATTGCACGGGGAGCTCTCAATTGATAATTGATAATGAGAGGCGATCGCGTAGTTGATAGTTGGAAGGCCGAATCAATCGGTCATTGATGCCGATAACCCCATTGAGTAGGACAAGTGGTGTGAATTTTTCGTATAAATACCGACTCGCCGCTCATCACTCTCAGTGACTTGAGTGATGGAGTTGATTGCATTGGCAGTGTCAGTGTTGATTTGGGGCTGCTCTGTGGCACCCGGTGATGGACTGGACAACGGCTTGGCACGCACGCCTCCCATGGGGTGGCTGAATTGGGAGCGTTTTCGCTGCATCACGGACTGTGACCAGTTCCCCGATGAGTGTATTAGGTGCGGTGCGGAAGGTGGTTTTCCCATCCAAAGTGCGGAATAAGCTCGTATTCCTTCTTGTAGCGAGGCACTCTTCAAGCGCACAGCAGATCGTCTGGTGGAGGATGGTTACCTCGCCTTGGGCTATGAATACGTGATTGTGGACGATTGCTGGATGGAAATGGAGCGCGATGAGGATGGACGATTAGTGGCGGACAGAAAGCGCTTCCCAAGCGGAATGAAAGCTCTCGCAGACTATGTAAGTCGCCGAAAGTTTGTCGCCAATGCATTCTGAAAATATACACACACTTTCTTCTTCGCGCTCAAGATGCACGAGAGAGGATTAAAATTTGGAATATACGAGGACTATGGGACTAAAACTTGCGCTGGATATCCCGGTGTTCTGAACCACATGGAAATTGATGCACAAACTTTCGCCGATTGGGGAGTGGATTATGTTAAGCTCGACGGATGCTATTCTGAGGTTGAGGACATGGATATTGGGTATCCCGAATTCGGGAGACTCCTTAATGAGACAGGACGACCTATGGTGTACTCGTGCAGTTGGCCAGTTTACCAGGAAGTCAATGGAATCATTGTAAGTATCTCATATTCTTGAGTGAAATTGTAAGATGCAACGCAATTTTGCGCTACTCAAACAGCCCAACTATGAAGCTATGAAAGCTGCTTGCAATCTGTGGAGGAATTGGTACGATATCGATGACTCTTGGGAGTCTGTGAGGACAATCACCAAATATTTCGCCAATAATCAGGATCGCATTCAGAACGTAGCCGGTCCAGGACACTGGAATGATCCTGATATGCTGATTATCGGCAACTTTGGCTTGAGCATTGATCAAAGCAAGGCACAAATGGCGATCTGGGCTATCTTGGCAGCGCCACTTCTCATGTCCAATGATCTCGACAGAATCAGACCAGAATTCCGGGAAATCCTCCAGAATCGAGAAATCATCGCCGTGAATCAGGATCCACTCGGAATGCAGGGCAGAAGAATCCGATACACCAACAATATAGAAGTACATAATAATGTGCAATTTATGCTATCCACAGAATTTCAAATTTCCTAATTAAATTCATTCATCTTCAAGGTGTGGGTGAGACCAATTACACCCAGTTGGGGAGTCAATTACTCATACGCTGTGGCTTTTGTGAGCCATCGAACCGACGGAGCGCCGTACACTTTGAATCTGGACGCTAAAAGCCTGGGCCTGAAGAGTCCGCTGTACATGGTTCATGTAAGTTTCTAACTATCTATGTACAAAACACACCTAATTGCCGAATGCGATGCTTTTGCCAGGACTTGTACGATAAGAGCAGCAGAAGTCGCTTCATGGCGAGCAGATCGTCAAAGCTGCGTGTCAGAATCAACCCGTCTGGGGTGGTGTTTTACAAGTTCGAAGCTCTCAATCCCAGCGCGGCGCCTTCCTCCAATACTGTGTAGCCTGGAGGCATTATTAATTATCATCTGTTAATTCGATGAAATTATGAATAATAAATGGTGTCTGTATAGTATGCAAATTGCAATTTGCATGGGAAAGCTCCATGTGGTGCAAAGCCCACCTCAGCGTCACCATGGAGGCTTTCACTGTGTTGGATTAGGATGCTAATGTATTCCTGCACACCGCACCACTTCCTGACATTTTATGGTTTTTATGGCATGCCATGGAAGAGAGCATTCTTCCCCAACAATTAACAGAAGGTGAAACTTTTTATCGCACTTTCACCATCCCAAGAAGCTGCGAAGGCGGAAGTTCACATTATTAAATTTCTTATATTTCCCACTTTTGCCAGTTGTGTCGACAAAGACCCAGAAAATAGGTCAAGTCAGTGCATTTAATGAGGTACAGCGGTGGTTTTATGCTCTATTCAAATAATATATAGGTCAGTTAAGTGAATTCAAGTCATCGTATTATTGGTTTTTAGTCTTTATACCGACGGAGAATCGAAAAATATGAAAAGATAAAATCGCTTTTTTTTTTCAAGAGAGCGAATTGAAAATTTAATGTTAATATCGTTGTAAAATTTGCCGAATTTACCTAAAAAAACCTTCTAATCGTTCATTAGAGTGATAATATTACTCTGAAATAATTATTTTCCGAATTTTTGCAATTAATTTTATTTGAAATTTTAATTGAAATATTACAAGTTAATAGAAAAACTGAAAATATTACATGCCTCAATCGATTTTTAACAGTTTTCAAGACTATTTATCAAAAAAAAAGTTTTGAAAACTATCTTTTCATGACATTTATTCAGTTTTCAAATAAAAAATTGAAATAAGAAATAATAAAAATCTAAAATAATATTTTTATCAAAAAATCGTTTTATGCGTTTTACTACAACTTGAGACAATTTTCTTAGAAATTGTACAGTGTAAACGATCTTTTTTATTTTACAACAGATAAAGCGCTTTTCAAAAATACATAAAACATTTATTGATTCACACGTCGATAAGGAAAAGATGTGAAAATATGTATGATACAATTGAGTTTTCACATTATTCAAAAAATCTAATGTTTATCTACAATTTTTACATTGCTTTTCTGGCAAAATGTCCTAATAAAATATATTCTAAAAGAGCACCACAAATTTATTCTCATTTCATGACATTGTCAACTAGTTTTTCCAACCATCGTCATTTCCCACCAATCGATCTCTGCAAATTAGTAATTAACAGCTTCACGTGGAAATTTCACCAGCACATCCACTTCCCTCGTGTAATTCAATTACGCTAATGCACTTGGGTTCTCTAAACGCAATATTAGGAAGTGGAAGTGAAATTAAATTGCCATCAAATCCGCTTGGTTGCAAATTCATTGGCCATAAACTGAATATGCAAATCATTTTATCTTTGCAAACAATTTGTGAAGCATTGATTTTCACGGAATTTTTATTTTTGGACTTCACTTGATATGACATCCAACAACAATGCCCAAAACAGCTTGAGCATGAACCGTGGCACTGTGTTCGTGGTGTTTGCGACAAGAGGTCGCTGTCGTGCCTGAAGCATGGTGTGAATATTTCAAATAAACACTCTTGCTGTGTGCGATGTGCCTGTCAATTGTTGGGTGTTTCTTCGGCCCAGGCAAAAGGGATCGGATTAAAAAGTTGCATTTGCCTATGCTTCACCTTTTCAGTCATCAGCTGAAATTGGAGGCATTCAAAGGACCCTCCACAATAGCAAATGATGCAGAGTTTGTATCCCTTCGGAGACGTTCAATACCAGCCAGATAGCGAAAGGAGGATTTTCTAAGCCAAGAAGGAAGAAATGAGAAAATATATTGAGCAGGATTTCGTGGGGATTTGTCAGTTTCCTTCGCATGCAAGAAATTCCGGTTGCTATTCACTTTGTTGTTACCTAACCACGCGTTGCTACTCAGTAGAGGGGTATCGATAAATATGGCAAAAAGAGGCGTAAATTGTGTCCCGCGGCAACACGAAGAGGCGGAGTTATGTAGTTTGAGCGGGTCGGGGAAAAAGTAAAAACAATATCGCGCCGTCTTGGTGTTGTTTACATACATCGTCCAACGTGCAATAATCATAACTTCCGGCCTGTAATTGGTTTCCATCGATTACATTATGGCGGATACACAATAAGCAATTAATGATTGTGGATGAGAGAAATGCACCGCCAACAGAGAGCGGTGAAATTTATAAGGACACCTCATGTGAAAAAAGCCCCTTTCAACGGTGTCTGATCCTGTCAACACGCATTGTCCCATTTGTCTGCAGCACATCCCGAAAGCAGCACCAATATTTGGACACCAGCCGTTTTTGTCGAGACAATGTGTCGTCCAGGCATGGGTGGAGACGCTCCTCGGAACGGACAAGACACAGAATGAGGGAAGTGAAGGAGCTGCAAGGTCCTTGGTTTGTTTGTCCATTTCGCTGCGCTGCCGAGAAATCGCCTTCTTGGCACTCACGCAAGGAGCCAGAGGAGACCCAGAAGGACAAAATGAATGCCTTCGCAGAGAGAATTCCCGCTAAAATGCTTCATTTACGCAGGGTGGACACAATAAATGTGTAAATCATCTGCAACAGTTGAAAACAAGACTTTTTTATTCTCAGCCTTTCTGCAACTTATCCACAGGCATCTAACAAATCGTTCTACTGATATATTTACAACTTCTCAAAATCAGCAACACTAAGTAGCCCCAATAAAAATGGGACAATGAGGCTGACGAAGAAGTGGGAAAAGGGCCTACATTGGCCCAAGTTAGAAAGAAATAAAGCATCGTAAAGTCCAATAGAAATTCTATTTGCACCAAATGTATCAAAAGGAAGTCAATTCAGCAAGCTTATAAAATATTTAGTGCCCTTTTATAGCTACCGTTTTTAGGGTCTCATTATGAGTTTAGGATTCTCAGGAATCCCATAAGTATTGCCACAACCAAAGCCATTCGCACCTCACGGGCTGGCTTTATTGAAAATTAAGCACCCACAAAGTGTCAGCAGCAAAAGAGATAAAATTGATCACATCTCAGCATTTCGAATGGAATCTTCCCTTGAGAATGAAATTACTCAAGCGAAATAAAATTTCCGCAGTTGCTGTAAATTTTATTTAGTCCTTGGATTGCAAAATCTATCAATCAAGCTCAAGACCAGAGAGAAACGATTGATGAATAACTCTGCGATGTCAATCGAAATTGGAATGCAAATGAGATTTACATTATAATGATCGCATATAAACTTTGTAAGATTCATACAAAAATATTCTGTAAATTTTAGCAGAAGTTTCACAATTTCAAAGACAAGGTGCTCTTTTGCATCACATCTTCTGTAAAATCAATATCTGTGATGCTATTGGATTATTTTTTCAGTCTGTGGCCAATATCTTTTACGGTTTCTGCTCAGAAGAATTACTAGAGCGTGCCATTCAGTTAGGAAATTTATTTAGAGGCATAAAGAATTCCATAATGTTCGGCCAAATTAATTCCGTCACATATTCCATGGAGGATTTAAGATGTGAAGAGTTTGGCTGAAACTTTTCCCACAACATGCAAATTATGAGGGACCATAAATTTTTCGTGCAACTTTCAAGCGAATTCCACCCCTAAAACTTGCTCTTTGTAACTTTCTGTTATCAGTGGAAATTTTGCAACCTGTTGATTTTGCCACACTTTTATTCAATGAGCGCTTCTTTTCCTGCGTCTGTTGATATTTATAATTTTCAATTACACCAAGTTTTCTGAGAACTTTTGAAGAGGATGCAAGTGAAACGGATGCTGTTCACGCTAAATTTCCCCAAAGGAAATACTTCTTGTTCACATTTTTCCAGCAATGGACACGAGATTCCCAGAATACGGTGTGAGTGAGAAAAAGGGAATTCGACCACACACGAGAGAGAGAGCCATGAGAAAACCACAAAGCCACAAGAAAGTGTCATGGAAAATGTATTTAGCTGTGTGTGGTGTGAGGAATGGCAGTTGTGAAGACAAGTGTTTCACTGTGAATCTTCACAAGATTCGTACATTTTATATAAATTGACTGTGAACGAGATGAATTATTAAAAGATGCGTATCTAATTGAGCAGCACTTAATTTCCACTAATTGTCCATATCTTTTCGTCAAAAATGAACGAGGTGTCTGGCATGAATTTTACACTTTTGCAGTGGCAGGAGGGCGTTTGCGTGACGAACACACTTCTTCAGATATTTACTGAGGAGACCTCAAGCGCGAGCACAACGAAACAGATCAATTTCTATCCAGTGGGCAACGCGGCCACGATTTATCTATCACGTGAAATTGATAGCGCAGTTGAGAAATATTTATGTTGAATTAATTTTTGGCGCTATAGGAGAGAGGAAGGCACTTTCACACAAGCAAATACACTTGGCATTTGGTTTAAAGGAAATTCAGATTCTCCTAAAGTTCTTTGAAATCAATTTGATTTATTTTCTTAACTCTGTCTTAGTTGAGATTTTTTCGATATTTTATTTTAAATTTCAATAATTGTTAGATTTATAGACTTAGTATTTTTAGCTATGATTTTTTGTGCATAAATAGTTCTTTTTAAGTGCTAAATTCTCTTTGGACTGATTTAAAACTCCCTTAAATTTTCTTATTTGACATCACGAAACATAAAGTAGAAAATGATTTGACGATTCTATTTAACTTGTTTCAGATGGATCAATTTTCTTTTGAGTTCTTCTCTTGATATATCTTTTGTTAGGTTATAAAATGCATGATTATCCATACTTATTATTCCTCAACTCCAGATTTTCACACTGATGACAAAACTCATCGGCTCTTGTTCTCTAAAATGGAAATGAAATGAATTTTCGACACCTAATTTGAATGTTTCACTGAAGCAAAGAGCGTGATTTACAGAGCGCTCCGCACTCTCCTATCTCAAGACGGAGAGTCAAATTAAAAATTCTGCTCGCTATGCATCTCTGAATTTCTCAATGGTCCGCAATGGCCAATAACTCAATATTTGAT